GAGTTAAGGTTTATTTGGGAGTGTAGTTGGCCAAACGAGGCATTTGAACAACTGAAGAAACTCACATTAATTCCATTAAAAAATAAACTATTAGCTTCTGATAGCCACTGTGGAAAACTTGACGACAAACAGAAAATTCCTTCATGACCTTTTTCTTAAATGTTCTGACTGAAATTCTTCAAAAATACAGTATATTTCTGATCAGTGCAGATATTTTTGGCAGTTGTGTACCATAAATTCATTTTATTAGGAAGTGCACTTTCTGTATTTGAATTATATTTGTTCTTAAATAGTGTGGAATGGAGGGAGAGAAGAAGCTTCATGATGATTTTGCAAGGCTTAATTAAGTAGCTTGAAAATGTTCCACAAGGGTGTGTGATAACTGATTACTTGCCATGAGCAAATTTTTTTTTTATTTGGACAAGTGGGTGGATACAGTTTAAAAACTCAGTTTTTTGTAACTGATCACTCAAAAGAAGCATTTGCTCTTTGAAAGTCTGAGGTTTAAAAAAAAATTAAACTTTCTCCTGTGAAACAAAACTAAAGGAAACTTATGGTTTTCTTTGTTGCTGTCTGGGAGAAAGGTAAATCCTTAAGAGCATTAGAAAAGGTGTGAGATTTAAGCTCTTAAACATTACAATCAACATAATTAAATCTGTATTATATTACAAATGCATGGACTATTTTTAAATTCATAACTGTATAAAACCACATTACTGGAACTGGACTAGTATTTTACTTATTTAAATTTGGATAGGTGTAACTTACCTATACATTTGACCACAGGACCACTTTCTTTTAAAGAAACAACCATTTGTTACTTTTGGGCCAGGTCTACATTACGGACCTATATCGGTGTAACTGCATCGTTCAGGGGTGTGAAAAACCCACCCCGTGAGCGATGTAGTAATACCAACCTAAGCCCCTGCATAGACAGCGCCATGTTGGTATGGGGGATTAACTATGTTGATAGGAGAGGTCTCCCGTTGGCTTAGTGCGTCTTCATTGAAGTGCTACCGTGGTATAACTGTGCTGATGCAGCTTCTTAAGCATAGACTTACACTCAGAAAAGACAGATTATTAAGGGCAAGTGTTCCTCATTGCTCATAACATGCTGATAAGTCTGGTCCTGAGGACAGCTAAGAAGGCTGTTGCTTCTACCTCTCTTAGATGGACACTAATCATTGGTACACGTGTGTGTGTGTGGGGGGGGGGGGGGAGTCAAAATCCAAGTTGCTCTTATAAGTTATGCCTTTGCTAGGTGTGTTTTATCTATGTAGGTATACCAGTATACGACTCTAGCAGAGCTCTCCTGGTGTGGATTATAGTGGTAAAGATGCGTTCCATAGTTTATTCTCTGGGTTTGTCTACACAGCACGTTAGTGAGCACCAATGGGGATGTAAATTCTTGTGTGTAGGAGCGTGTTGTGAACTGTGCTGGTGCACTCTAAAAGTTCCCTAATTGGCGTTGCCATAGTACTGTTTGAAACTTAGTCTGTGTCAGCAAGGTTGCACCCCATGCGTGACACGCTGCTGCACATGAAAATTTACACACTCGTGTGCACTAATGCACTGTGTAAACAAGCCCTCTCTACTTGTATAGCTTGATCTACTGGGGAAAAGTAGAGTTTAGCCAGGTAGGGATCATGTCTCAATACCCTGGACCAGTGGTTCTTAACCCATGGGCCGCTTACAGCCCAATCAGCAGACAGCTGCAGCCCATGTGACATCCTTGGGGCCATACAGGTAGTATATATAGTGTGTGGATACAGCCCACATAAAACAGAGAACTGTATTTTTGGCCCACAATGGTAAATAGGTTGAGAACTGCCTGGACTGACAGCTGTTTCAGCAAAAGTCTGTACTACAGACATAGCCACAGACTTTCATAATAGACTAGAGTCCATTTTAATGAATACCAGATTATAGGACAAACATGATAACACTTCCAGTGTTATAATAAAATGCAAGATGAGGCAGTGTATCCTAATGATTAGAGAAACTGGGTGCCTTAGAGGTTCACCTTGGGCAAGTGATTTGATGACCCTCTTTCCTTAGCCATTCAACTCTAAAACTTTTAAAAGGCACATTATCTATGAGAACTGAACTGTGCACCTTAGATAGAAATTCATCTCAACAAATTCCCTTTACTTCCCGCCCTCCACACTTAAAACAATAATACATACTAAAGAAACAAAAGTAAAATCAGATGAACATATTTTCTGGGAACCAAGCAATTTTTTTAGTAAAACTCTCCAGTATCTATTAGATCAGTCTTGCAAAACTAATGAAAACCTATTAGCCAAAATATGGTTGCTTTTTCTCTGAATCAGTAATATAATGGACAAGTTAATGATGCTTACTGATGCAGTCTTGAAAAGTTTCCCTGGGAAAACAGAACTGTTGACAGTTGCACCATTATTCCCTTTTTATTAAACACTCTTGGGGAATGTTTTTCTGTTGCTGCCCTTAACTAGGGTCTTTGAGAACAGAATCTCAGTGTTTGGCAAAGGAGTTCTTGCACTCCACTTTACTTTGTTTAAAAAAAAAAACCCTGCTTCCAACTGCATAGCATCTTTCCTGCTCCACAAATGCTTTTCTGGTGACTATACTTCTTTCCTTTCCATCTAAATCACAGCCGCTTTCTAGTTTTGAAGCTTTCAGAGGGAGGAGGGGATCAGTCTCTTTTTGTTGTTGTTTAAAAGACTTATTTGGCCTGTGGAAAGCTGCAGTGTCTCTCTCCCCTTTTCCCTGTCCCCCCAGGTTAGAATTGGTTAAAATTTCAACTTATTGTTAAAACTTGTCAAAAAAAAAATCATGGGAGGCACTGAGGTTATTTAATGTTGAAGTGTTGCAGAGAGGTTCGAGCATAACAGACTGGGGTATCCTAGTTAAATTGAAAAATTTAACTTTGTTTTATCCTTCAACTGTGTGTGTGTTCGCTCATAAACTACTTCCCCTGAGTTGAGTCAGTGTGGAATTAGTGGCTTTTCTCCAGCAAATTGATTTGAAACAAAGGGAGTCTATAATCCTTTTAAATCATCAGCCACTTTCCAAACAGGCTAAATGTTACTCAGGAGCTACTTCAGTGTTTCTCAAATGCAGCCACCAGGGGCTTTTTGTGCAGCCACCACCTCCTGGATGGTGATTGGGGTGGGAGGGAGGGGGACAAAACAGGGGCCTTTCCTCTGGCGCTGTCAGCAGGGGTTGGGCCCTGACCCCATCTGGAGCCATAAACACCAGAGAATCAGGCAAGCAGTGTGAGTACCCCACCTTCCTGGGGGTGGTAGGGCACAGGCTTCTGGCTTTCAGCTTCAGCGCTGGGAGGAAGGCAGTGGGCTCCATCCCCTGGCTGCAGGGTTTCAGGCCTCGGCCACGTGGCAGCGGGCGCTGGCCCTGGGCCCACCCCTCCATCATCCCTGCTGTGTCCTCCAGCCCTGCACTTCAGTGGCACAGCTGCAGGCCTCTGGTCCCCAGGCTCCAGCTGCAGGCTTACCCCCCTCCCCTCCATTGCCCCAGCCTCTGTTGCCTCCCTCGGACCCCCCCTCCATTCCACCAAGCACCTGCTGCCTCCCTTGGCTACTTATACATCTTCCCCCCACCCCCACATCATCTCTGTGCTGCCTCCCTACCCGCCTCCCCATCCAGAGCTTAATTTGTCTCCTGGCTTGCCAGGGCTGAGTAAGTCTGTTGTGAAAAGTGATATTTGTATCTTTGTTAATGTCACTTGTAGCTGCCTCCCAGCTAGTTAGCAAGGCTGCTGCTGAGAAATGATGTTAAACATACACCTCATATTTCACAGAAGCAGACTAACTAGCAAGTCTTAAAAAGAAAAGGCAACCCCAAAAAAGCAAAAACAAACACCAAAAACCAAGAACATGCAAGGCACCTTATGTTTCTATTCTGTTGAGGTCCAGTAAATAGAAACTACATTAATTTTTATTACTGAGTCTGCAAAAAACCTACATAAATAAATTGCAGTGAATTGGATATTCATTTTTGACAATTTTTCCTAAAATTGTAATTAACTTTCGAAAAACAAATAAAGTGGCCACCAGCAAGAGTTGGTGGCTGCACTCTGAGGCCACCAAAATTTTTTTTGTGATTAAACCCTGTTTAACTAGATTGGCCTGTGGCTGACTTACCATTGCAGTAGTGGACTGCCAAAGAAATTAATGTTGTGCATAAATGAAAATTTAAGAGACCTGAAACTGCTATCTTTGCTGTTTATGACCTTCTATTGAGCTCCTGTATTTCTTCTAAAACACTATAACTAACCAAAAAGTTTTAAGTAAGTGATCCTCTATTTTGGTGGTGGTTTTTCCATTGCCTCTTATGGTATTTGACCTTTGCCTATTAGGTTTTGTTATGCCTGTCATTACACCTGTTGCTATAAGGCATGACCCGTCGTGTGTGTGTGTGTGTGTGTGTGTGTGAGAGAGAGAGAGAGAGAGAGACTTCTGAGGACTTTGCATTTCATAAATATTGGTAGCAGTACTACAGAATAAAGTTGCAAACTGTCTCACTAGGAGAGTAAACTGTGGATATGTATGGCAGAAATAAGAATTAACTGGAAAAGTATTCTCTGGAGGTTATCACCAGGGTCAATAGCAAAATTATAGATGTTTGCTTAAATATGTAAGCATCTATGTAGAGTTTTCCTCCTACACTTGTGAAAATAGAAATGAGAATAAACACATAAGACAATTTTCAATTTTAACAGACCATTCTTTTGTTAGTCACAGTAAAAACAACATTAATACCAGTATCAATAGTATCACCAAAATAAAATGTTACTTGAATTCTACCTCCTGATGTTTGTGCTGGAAGAGTGACCAGCATGGTTATGGTGGCTTGTTGTCAAACAGATGTTGTGTACTTCAGCATCTGACCTCACTTATGGCTTTCTTTATATCAAGGCTGGGAATGCAAAGATGGGCTAACTTTCTGAACTCAGTAACTGGACCAAATCAGACTAATGTTTGTTTTTTCTTCCTCAGTTCACAATGACTAATGAAGAACCTCTTCCAAAGAAGGTAAGTTTGAAATTTTTTCACGTTTTTTTCCCCTTGTTTTGTTGGTAGCAGTGACAAACGGTTACATTGTTTGTTTGTTTTTTTACTTTGCAGGTTCGCCTTAGTGAAACAGACTTTAAGGTTTTGGGTAGAGATGAACTGATCCTAAGGTAAAGTAATAAATGGGTTTCTACTGTATAAACAAACATTTTTAAAATGGGACTTCTCTCAAATCCTAATAGGAAATGTACCGCTCTGTCCAAACTGCTTTTCGTAAAGCACACCATGTAGCAATACTTGTAATTTGATAGTTGACAGTGGCCAAGATTTTCAAAGTGATTTGATGTTTTCGTGTCCAACTCGAAACATATTAAAAGGGTTTGATTTCTCATATTGCTGCTCTCCACCCTCTGAAAATCAGGCCTCTTTAAAGGTGTCTCAACTTAAATACCCAGAACTGAGGCACCTGAAATCACTAGTCAATCTTGAAAGCATTTGTCAGTATCTGTAAATATGTCCTTGAAGTTATCAGGGTTTAAAAAAAAATCCATTTTAATTGTAAATAGCATATTAGTATTGGTGAGTAGGGAGAGTTAAGCAGCTAGAAACTATGTAATTTAAGCTTTTTATTTAAAAACAAATTTCTGGCAGTCTTCACACTACGTAAGGATTTCTTGAATGTGGATCAAATATAAACTGATGCAGTGCTGTCTTCCTGAGCCTGCATACATTTTCCTGTACCTCAGCTGCTTAATATTTTTCCCAAGTAGCAGCTGAGTGAAATTGGCAAAATTGATCCATTTCACTACTGCTATTGGGAGTTCTTTAGCCAGCACTGAAACCGATAATCTTGTTTTTTTTCTACTGTTATGGAAAGCTGTCTAGAACAAATACACTGAAACTGTTCAAAGGAGGGAACATCAAAATCTGACTGGAGAGAGCAGAAGAGACTGACTATATGGGGAAGAGAAAGAAGTCCCTTTCCCCAGCCATTAAGTGGGAGTATTTCAGATTGGTCAAGTGTTCAGATTCTGGCTAATAGGTTTTTGTAACTGTAAAAGTTGCAACAGTTTAACTTAAATCTGTTCACTTATCCCAGTGTCAGGCCCTGTGATGAGCACAATCTAGCTGTAAACAAATTTAACTGTGAACGCAGTTGGGATTGTGTGTCAATACAGGGATGAACATTGGTTTAAGTAAATAGATTTAAAAAGCAATTTTAGTTAAATCATTGCAGATATGGTATGTAGATCAGCCCTAATGAAGGGAATTCACCCTGGGTTGGAATACCCTCCTCCCTTCAAGCAGCTGGAAGTCGTAGGGTTGGGTTTTTCCACGAGGCTGTTACTGCTGCACCTTGCTGGTGACTGCACCCCACCACAACCACCTGGTGTATTGTATGGCCTCCATCCAGTGATTTTTTTTTTTTTCAAGCCAGTATCTCACTGTTAGATGGCAAATGACTTCAGAGTTGTTGTTGGACACAGGAATATGCATAAGTGGTGTCTCACAACCTTGAAGTTTGAATGTTTATATATGTTGGGACACCCTTCCCCCCCCCCTTAAAATACTGGAATATTTATGGCAATATTTGTGTTTACAGATCTCTTATGTAGGGATTGCATAGACTTACTTTACTTGGTTATATATTTTGACAATTTAAAATGTTTCAGTATCTTCTGTGGTGTCTTTGTGGGGAATCTTGCAGTCTATATATGTTGTGCACAGATAATCCGTGCGTTTGTGGGTAATGTTTTGCTGTTTTCGAATGGTCTAAAAGATGTACACATTAAGTAGACAAACTTCACATCCTGGCACTGGTTACATCAGCGAGTAAACAAATATTAACTTGAAGTTCAACAAATACTGTCTCTTTCCAACTTTTTAAAAACTGGTTATGTGAGTACTTTTTTTAAATAGATATAGCTACACCTAGGGGAACCCAAATTCATTATAGCTCTGCATGACTGCAGCTGCCCGTCCCCCCCCCC